GATAGGCTGCCATGAGGTCACCCCGCAGCTTCTCTTCTCCAGGCTGAACAATCTCAGTCAGGGCTTCCCTAAGAACTACAGACAGGGAGCCCCTCCAGCCCTCCTGCCCCCCACCCCACACCGGTGGCACCGGGAGGCCCCGAAAGCCCGAGGCAAGGGGTGGTGCGGCCCCACCTGCTCGCTGGCCAGGAAGAGGAGGACGTGGCCGGGCTCCTGCCGCCGGTGGATGTCCAGCACAGCCTGGCAGGCTGCCGCGACGCGGCCGTGGGTTGGGACATCCCTGTAGAGCAGCTGCGGGGACGGCCCGGCTCCGGGCACCCTGACCACGGGGGGATCCCCGCAGAAGGCGCGCAGCCGCTCCTCCATGGCCGGGGAGGTCACCACCACCACCTTCAGCTCCGGGCGCTGGTGCAGGACGTCCTTCAGCAGCCCCAGCAGCACATCCGTGGGCACCGTGCGCTCCTGGGCCTCGTCCAGCACCACCACCCCGTACTGCCGCAGCAGGGGGTCCGACGTCATCTCCCGCAGCAGCATCTCGTCCGAGCAGAACCTGCGCGGCCCGGACCCGTCAGGGGGTGGCCGTGCCTGCAGACGTCCCCAGGGGAGCGAGCCTCTCCCACCCAGCGCTCGCCCTGCCCGGCTGCCTTAATGAGGCCACGGGGGATTAAACGATTACGCCGCGGCCGGGGAGCAGAGCGGGATTAGAACGGCACGGCGGCCCCCATCCCCGCACCTCAGGACGGTCTCGGCGGTGCAGCAGTCCTCGTGGGGGACGCAGTAGCCAACCTCGTGGCCCAGGTTCAGGTCCATCTCGTCGGCCACGCGCAGCGACAGGCTGAGGGCGGCCAGGCTGTGGGGCTGGGTGCAGGCCACCAGGCCGTGTGCAAACTGCAGGGACAGGGCGTAATCGGCGCACCACTGCGGGACCTGCGAGGGGACGGCGCTGGTCGGCGGCCTGGGTGCTCCACAGCCATCAGCCAGGGCTCTGCACAGTGCAGGGGCACCCGGCGCCTCTCACAGCCGCTCCTGCCCTGGCGATGCTGCACCCGAACCCACGGCGGCCTTTGCAGGGAGCTGCGAGGCCTCACCACCCTCCGCCCAGAGCTTTCTGCCCTGATCCTGGCATTAAAGACACGGGACAACCACCCTCTCCACCTCTACCTCGTCGCTTCTTACTCCCACTCGAGTCTTGGCTGCTCACCTCCTTCCTAGCAGGGAAATCATTCCTCCCCTCATCGCTCCCCATTGCCTGTTTCCACATGTTTCCAGTCCTGCTATGCTCAGTTTGTGACTGGAGAGCACGTGCCCCAGTCCACGTTAGATGGGGCTCCTCCAAACCAGCCCCTTACTCCCCTGCTGTAGCCAGACACGCCTGCCATTTAACTGCAACGCAGCGGGCTCCTTGCCCACATCCTGCAGCACGCAGTACCTGCAGGCAGGTGCCCTCGAGCGGCAGGGATCTGCCCCCAAAGCCACTTGCAGAGACCCACACACAGCCCTGCAGGGGCCGCAGCCCCCAGCCCTGTGCCTGGCTGTGCCCCCTCCCATCACCGCTGTGCACAGCTCAATGCCCTCCTCATAAGGACCGGCACAGAGCGCAGTCAGCCACAGAAACAGCAAAGGGACGCAGCCTGAGCATCAGCTCTTCCCCCTTTGGGCAGCACACCAACCTGCAGTGTGCTGCACACCAAGGCATGGGATCAGACGCTCCGTGTCTCCCCGTCTGCTGGAGGTGTGGTGGTTCCAGGACCCGCACGGTGCCTGCACCCGAGGGCAGCCCAGCCCCAGGGCTACCAAGCACTGGGTGAGGCCCCTAAAGGGGGCTCCTCGCTGGCTGTGCCTCACGCTGAACCTCAGCTGAGCGCTGCAGCACGGCTGCACCCAGAGCCCTGCAGCCAACGCCCTGATAAACCCAGCGACCGGCAGCTGCTGAGCTTTGATCCAAACGGCAGCCGGCCCTGTGGAGGCTCATGGTTACCCCCGCAGCTTCCAGGCGATACCTTTGCAGGTCAAAGTCTGCGTGACGACATCCTCAGGTGTTGTGTCAGAGGAGCACAGATGGGACGCGCTACCCCTGCTCCATGGGGAGGCCCGGTGGTCCTGGCACCGTGTGCCAGCTATCGCCCAGACTGACCATCCCTGACCATCGCACCAAGCCAGCAAGAGTCCCAGCCCTCTCCCAACACACGGGTGGCAGTGCCTCCCCAGCTCATGCAGAGGCACTGCCTGAAGCCAGCACTCCTGCCCTGGCACATCCAGCACTGCACTCAGTGCTGTTTGCCCGCCGCAGTGGGGCTGGCAATGCCACCCATGGGGCCACCCGCTGCATCAAGGCCAAAGCAGAGCCCAGGGCTGCAGGACGTTCATGCAGCAACAGGATCAGTGTGTGGGAAGGCTGCTGCCCCAGCACAGGGCGTCTTGACAGCAGCACCACAGCTGCTCCGTGTAAGGAGGACGGCGCTGCTGAGGGAGCACCGCAGCACAGCACAGCGCAGCCCTGTGCCCATCTCAGCAGCAGCACGGCCCCAGCCCTCCCGCTCACCTGTGTACTCTTGCCTGTGCCGGGTGGCCCAGACACCAACACGATGCCGCTGCTGCCCTCCAGGTGCTCCATGAAGCTGTACTTGGTGGTCCAGACTGGCAGCTCTCGGCGCTGCCGCAGCAGCTCGTAGTAACGTGAGGAGAAGGGCAGGCCATCGTATGGATTCACCTCCAGGTCCCCGTCGCAGCCCAGGGCTGGGTCCTCATCCTCCTCCTCATCCTCCAGCACCGAACCGGAGCCGTTCTGCCGTGGCGGGGAACTCGAGGCCCTGCCAGTGGCCATGGCGCTTCCACTGCAGGGGGCAGGTGGGAGGTGGCACAGGGACACCCTGATGCCTGCAGGGTGTGGGGACATGGGAGACAGCCTGGGGCTGAGCCACCCTCAACGGGACGTGAGGGGGTGGGAGGGCCCAGGACAGGGACCGGCATGGACTGGGTACGGGGACAGATGGGGCCGGGCTGGGACAGAGGGGAGCAGAGGCACGTGGGGATGGGGGCACACCAGATTAGGGCACACGGGATTGGGGCACACGGGATGGGGGCACATGGGATTGGGGGCACATGGGATTGGGGGCACATGGGATTGGGGCGCGGGATGGGGGCACGCGGGGGCGGAGGGCTGAGGAGCTCAGGCCGGGCCAAGCGACCCGGAGCGCAGTGCACGAATGAGGCCGGGCACAGCCGGGGGTCACCGGACCGCACCGGAGGGGGACGTGGGCAGCGGGTCGGCCCGAAGGAAAGGGGGCACCGCGGGTCCGTTCGGTTCCGGTTCCCGTTCCGGTTCCGGCCCGGCCGCCGCTCACCTGCGCGCGCCGCCGCCACCTCGGCCCTGCCTGGAGCGGGCGTCAGGTGACCGCGGCGTCGTCACGTGGCCTTCGGCAGCCGCCAATCAGCGCCGCCCCTGCCGCCCGGCGGCGCGCGGTCCGTTACTAAGGGCGGCGTCTGCGTGGCAACGGGCGGCTCCGGGGCGGGCGGCCAGCACGGAGCGCGGCGAGAGCCCGGCGCGTCCGGGCCGGCACCGCTGCGGTGCAGCGTCCCGAGCCCGGCGCCCAGACCGGAGCCCTCGGTTCCCGGCTCGGGGCCGCCAGGTGGGGCTGCGGGGCGGCCCGTCCCCTCCGAGCGGCGGCCGTGGGAACGGCTCGGCCCGGCCGTGCTCGTTTGTGGCGCGGTTCACCCGCGAGCCGTTCGATTGCGATTAAAGGCCAGAGGTGTTCAGAGCCGCTTTCATTCCGCTCGGCCGCGCCGTACGAACGCGCCGGGTGTTTCGTGGCGAATCTGCGGATGCGTTTCGTGACGCAGCGGGCGGGGCGGGGCGAGAGCGGGGCTCCGAGCGGCCGGGATGGCGGGAACGGGGGCGGCGCCTCGCTCAGAGCGGAGCGGGGCTGCAGGGCTGCGGGGCTGCGGGGCTGCAGGGCTGCGGGGCTGCGGGGCTGCGGGGCTGCGGGGCTGCGGGGCTGGGGGAAGCGCGGCGTCGGTCGGCCGGGCGCTGCCGGCCTGGGCGGCGCCGCCTGCTAGGTGGGAAACCCTGGGTGCGACCGGAGGGCAGCGCGGAGCCGCGGGGTGCTGGCAGGCAGGGACGGGGCGGTGGGCGATTGTCCTGCGCTGCGCTGCGCTGCTCCGCGCTGCTCTTGTCCGTCCGTCTGCAGCACTGCATCCAGGTCTGGGCCCTTCGGTACAGGAAGGACAGGAGCTGTTGGAGGGGGTCCAGAGGAGCCACAGAGACGATCGGGGCTGCAGCACCTCCCTGCAAAGCCAGGCTGAGGGAGCTGGGCTCGTTCAGCACGGAGAAGAGAAGCTGCGGGGTGACCTCAGTGCAGCCTGCAGTGCCTGAAGGGAGCCTGCAGCCAGGAGGGGAGGCAGCTCTGTGCAAGGGGAGATGGCAGCAGGACGAGGGGAAAGGGCTGGGAGCTGAGGGAGGGCAGCTTGGGGTTGGGTGTCAGGGGAAGTTGTGTGCTGTGAGAGCGGGGAGGGGCTGGAACAGCTGCAGAGAGGCTGCGATGCCCCGTCCATCCCTGGAGGGGTTCAGGGCCAGGTTGGATGGGGCCCTGGGCAGCCTGGTGTAGTATGAAATGGGGAGGTTGGTTGCCCTGCATGCAACAGGGGGTTGGAGCTTCGTGATCCCTGCTGTCCCTTCCAACCCGGGCCGTTCCGTCATTCTGTGAGCTCCCAGAGCCGGGCAGGCGGGCACCGGGAGCGGAAGGCAGGCGGCGGCGCTGAGCTGTTGCTCCCCCGGCCGCTGGGTGCTGCAGGAGAGCAGCGCCGGGCTCGGTCCTGCGGGGCTCTGCGCGGCGCTGCGCTGAGGTTCGGGGGCGGGTTGGCCGCAGCCGGGGCGCGGACGGCCCCGTGCTGCTCGCTGTGCCCCGGGCTCCGGCCCGCCGTCCCCGCTCCGGGCACCGCGGCGTCGCTGGGGTTGGGAGGCTCCTAATCCTGGCGTAGGCGGCGCGGGAGCCGTTGTCCGGTGTCCGGTGGGTGCCGGGCTGCGGTTGGGCCCCACGGCGCCCGGCGGGGTGTTGAGGAAGCAGAGGTTTGCACAAGCCGGTGGGGTGCACGTGACCCGGGGAGCGAGGCGGGAGGAACCGGCAGCGCCCCGCGCAGCGCCTCGGGTCCCCGTGCTGCACGGCTGGCCATGGCCCCCTGGCTGCCCACCAAGGAGAAATATGGCGTGGGTGAGTGGGGCCTCGGTGGCTGAGCAGGGAGCCGGGGCTGCGGGGTGAGCAGCGCTGGGGCGGGGCGGAGGCGATGCTCGGTAGTGAGAGTTGGAGGCCGGGTCCCCACGGCGCTGCCGCTGGTTTTGGAAGGTCAGGGGCTGCGGGATGAAGCGTGGAGTGGACGGGGGCTGCAGGTGGTGGGATGGGTTGGGAGTCGTGGAGCCGGGGGCCGAGCGGCAGGGCAGCGTTGAGGCTGCGCCTTTCCGAGGCTTGGTGCAGGATCTGTCCTCCCTTCTGTGCTGGGCTCAGCCTGGATGTTGAACCATGCTCGGCTCCAGGGCTCTTTAGCTCGTTAGTGACCGGTGCCATGGACTGTGCTCATTTCTGATCTGCCTGTGGGGAGGTGCCTGTGCAGCCCAGAGTCAGCCCTGCCATTTGCCCCTGGGCCACCTTGGGGCTCTGCTCCCAGTCCCTGCTCCTGGTCCCTGCGGCGGTTGTGGCAGAGCCCTGGCAGCCTCAATCCCTGCCCTGGCCCCACTCAGCCTCCCTGCAGCACCCTGAGGAACTTCTCTTTACGCCACTCCCGCCCTCCCTGCTCTGTGCCTCTTCCCCTTTCTGGAGGGGCCGTTTCCCAGGCCCCTGCCCTGTGCTGCGGGGGGGGGGGCCTGCCAGGGACCCTCCGAGCTGCCCTGTGGGAGGCCTGGGCCCGGCAGGGGGGCGAACAGGACTGGGGCCAGGGGCTGTGCAGGATCCTCGTGCAGAGAGCAGGAAGGGTCCGTGGGAAGCTGAGGGCCTTGGAGCTGCGAGGAGCCAGCACGGCCATGGGGCTCCAGCTGGGGGTCCCGGATGAGCCACGCAGGTCTGTGAGCGCTGCAGTCCCTGCGATGCAGGCTGGAGGGCTGAGTGAATGGGGTGAGGTGTGAGCAGGGTCCCAGCAGGGCGCCACCAGCTGCAGGCACATCTGTAGGGACGGTCCGCTGCGCAGGGTGCCGCCCGTCCTGTGGTCAGGGCTGCCCCCTCCCGGAGCCGCAGAGGAGCCGTCGCTGTGCAGAAATAGCAGCAGGAGCAGCGCGGCCGCTGCTGCAGCAGGAAGCACCCCGTGCTGCTGCTCATCCTGCGCAGGGCTGGGACTCTGTGCCGCGACCCGCAAAGCTCAGGGCTGAGCGATGCCCGGAGATGTGGCTGTACCCCTATGTGGGGGTCGAGTGAGAGGTACGCGGCTGCAGGGCCTCCGCTGGGCGGGGGCAGGACGAGGAGCCCCTGCTCACAGCTCCTGGCCCCTGTCTCTGCAGCCGTGTGGAACTTCCCCAGTGCCAACGAGCATCACCTCCCACTGGAGATTGGGGAGACGGTGCACATCCTGCAGGCGTCCGAGGGTAAGGGGTCCCGGCTGGGCTGGGGCTGAGCTGCACTCGGCCGGGGGTTGCCTGGCCCCAAGCCTGGCTCACGCTGAGCTCCTCCCTTCTCTCGCAGGCTGGTACCGCGGGTACTCGCTCAGGAACAGGGCTGCTCGGGTAGGTGAGGGGCACGGGGGGCTCAGCCAGCCCCGGCTGTGTGGGTACCCGCTGGGGACACCGAGGGGATGGGGACCCCTGCGGGGCTCTCACTCCTCGGGAAGCCCCCGGCCCGTGCCTACCGACACCGCTGATTGCTGCTCCCCAGGGCATCTTCCCGGCCTCACTGATCCGCCTGAAGGGCGCGGTGGTGGAGCGCAGGGGGTAGGTATGGGGCGGGGGGGCAGCCGCGTGCCGGGAGCGGGCGCTGCAGGGCTCTGTGCCCTCCCCACAGGGCGGAGGAGAGCGTGGTGCCCGCCGAGATGCCCATGGTGCAGGAGGTCACCACCACGCTGCGGGAGTGGGCCGCCATCTGGAAGCAGCTCTATGTGGTGAGGGGAGGTGGGGGTGGGGAAGCACGGGACGAGGTTGGGGCTGGGGGTGACCCTGAGCACGGCGCTGCCCACAGACGGGGCAGGTGGAGCGGTACTGCAGGGTGAAGCAGATGATGTACGAGCTGATGGAGCAGCGCTCGCAGCTGCTCTCGGGTACGCTGCCCAAGGACGAGCTTCTGCAGCTCAAGAAGGAGGTGACCAGCAAGATCGACTATGGCAACAAGTGAGAGGGGAATGGGGCTGTCCTCATGTCCCCGCTGACCTGGGGTGGCGGGGACAATGCCGTGCAACCCACCTCGCCAAGAGCTACTGCTGAGGGCCCTGGGTTGGGGCAGAACGCATCCCTGGTGCTACTGCTGTTCCCGCCCCGCTGCTCTGCTGCTGGCCGTGATCTCCAGGCCTGTCCTGCCCCGTGCCGTGCTCACGGCCCCCTGCCTGCAGGTCCCAGAGGGACACACAGCCCCACATATAGCCCAGCCGGGCTCTGGGTCCCACCTCACCCCCTCTGCAGGATCCTGGCGCTGGACCTGGTGGTGCGGGACGAGGATGAGAACATCCTGGACCCCGACAGGACCAGCATCATCAGCCTGTTCCAGGCACACAGAAGGGCAGCACAGACCGTCACGCAGCGCATCCAGGAGGAGACGGTGAGGGTGGCACCGATCCCAACGTGCCACGTGCCCACGGCGCTGCACACAGCCCGTGCCCCACAGCCCTGAGCTGCGTGTGGGGCTGAGCAGCCTCGTGCCCCGCAGAGCTCGCAGCAGAGCCACCCGGGCTGCAGCGCACGCCTGGCGGCTTCGCCCTCGCACAGCCTCTACCTCTGCGTGCGCAACTTCGTCTGCAATATCGGCGAGGAGGCGCAGCTTTTCATGGCTCTGTACGACCCGGGAGAGCAGCGCATGATCAGGTGCCGTGCTCCCCCTGCCCTGTGGGGCCGGGCTCCCGTCCCTCTGTGCTCTCCGTGTCCGTGCGGGGCGCCCCGGCCCCTCTGCGGGCTGCTCACACCGTTCCCTCCCAGCGAGAGCTACGTGATCCACTGGGCCAGTACGGGCGTCCCGCGGGACATCGAGCTGCTCAACAACCTCCGGGCCATTTTCACGGTGAGCCCCCGGCCCTCGCCCACCCGCTCTGGGTCTGTGCCTGGGGGATGGCGCACATCCTCCCCACCTTGCTGCATTGCAACACCCCCTCGATGCGGCGCTTGGGATGCACTGGGGCGCTGTGCGTGCAGGGATCCCCAAGCCTGTCACGGCCCGCATCCCCCCCATGCATCCCACTCCCAGTTCTGCCCCTCTGCACGCTCTCTCCCGCCCCCCTGCGCCCCACTCCATGCCCTCCCCCGGCCCCGTGCCCACCCTCACCCCGCAGTCAGGCTCGTCCCGGTTTCGGCTGCCTGCAGTGAGCCGGGCGAGGAGCAGCTCCTGCTGACTGCGCAGGTTTCTGCTGCTCGAGCGAAGCTGCGCTGACCCTCAGGACGGCCCTAGCCATCGATATGCAAATGAGCCGGGAAATCAATGTAAATGAGCAGCATCAGCACTTCCAGCCGCGCGGTCCAACTCCCCCAGCGCTCGCTCCCCTCCGATCCCTGCCTGCGGCTGGCGCTGCGTCCCTGAGCCGCGTTCCCGTGCCGCAGCCCCGCAGGAGCAGAGCCCATGGGATCTGGCCTGGCCGCGGTGCCTGGAGTTGGGGTGCATGGCTGCTCCCCAGGCCCCGCACCGCGTCAGATCTGTCCCACCTCGAGGTGCTGTCATTGCCATGGGGACTCCCTGAGGCCGTCGTCTCCATCAGCCCACACTGTGTTGTGCACACGATCCCCGGGCTCCACGCAGCAGCTTTGTGCCCTCTGTGGGGCACAGCAGCAATCCCTGGCCCCAAAAGCAGAGCTCTGCAGCAGCTCTGCACCCCATTAACCGTACCCCCAGCTGTCCTCCCAGGCAGTCGCAGCTCGCCGTGCCCTCCTGGCAGCAGAGCATCCTCACTCAATTCTCACACCCTGCTGTGCTCCCAGGACCTGGGCAGCAAGGACCTGAAGCGGGAGAGGCTTTTCCTGGTGTGTCAGATCATCCGGGTGGGCCGCATGGACCTGCGTGAGACCCTCAGCCGCAAGCTCAGCACCGGGCTGCGGCGGCCCTTCGGCATCTCGGGTGAGGGGGGCTCAGGGTGGACCCCAGCACCACACCAACCCCATGGGCAGCTCCCAGACCCACAGCCCCCCCCCCCCACCGCTCTGCCCTGCTCCCTCCATGCTCACTTTTCCCCATCGCCATCACTGCGCTGGCTGGGTCACGCAGGTGGTGCCAGCAGAGCCCCCCCAGAGCAGGGAGCCCCATGGAGAGGGGAGTGCAGGAGCTCCCCGCACCCCACCCTGCCCTGACAAATGCTGCTGCTCTGGGTATTGATCCTCTTTGGATGGGCTTGGTAGGAAATTATTGATTTTAATTGGCCAATTAGCGTGCACTAGGATCTTGGCCACGAAGCAATTACCAGGTGAATTATTAACATACTGGCAGCTAATTGCGCTCTGAGCTGAGCGTGTCTCTGGGGAGGGAGCAGATGGATGGTCCTGGTGCAGCGGTGCAGCGCCCTGTCCCTGCTGCCTGCGGCTGCCACAGGGCTGCGGGTGCCACCAGTGTGGCCACACAGACCCCATGGCAGCCCTCCCCGACACAGCATTGGGTGCAACCCCAACAGAACTGCGGGCGCAGCATGAGTCCCTGCCCAGAGCCTCGTGTGTCTCGGTGCCACCCAGCACCAGGGGGCAGAGGGGTCCTTGTGGGACACGGTGACGTCCCTGGGAGCAGGATCCGTGCTGGGATACAGGGCAGGGTTGTGGCTGCAGAGGGGACAAAGCAGGCCCTGGGTGCATGCAGGAGGGTTTGGCACAGGGGTCTGTGGCACCGGGGTTGCATCCATGGCTGCTGTGTCTGTACCACTGCAGTGATGGACATCACCGACATCACCAAGGGGAAGTGCGAGAGTGACGAGGACAAACAGCACTTCATCCCTGTGCACCTGTGAGTCCTGGGGCTGAGGGCAGGCAGCGCTCCGGGGGCTGGGCTGGCGTGGGGACAGTGGTGGCACAGGGACAGCAGGAGTGCCAGAAACAGAGAGCAGATACTGCTGGGGACTTGGGCTTTGCAAAGAGATTGCGCGTCCCTGGAGCACTGTATAATCAGGATCAGGAGCTCTGCGGGGTTAGGAGAAAGGGTATTGGTATGGCCCGTGAGATACTGAGGGATACGGACCTTCCTGGAGCCCCACAGGCTCCACTTTGTGGGTGTGAGAGTGCTGTGGTTCACCCCAAACCAGCCCAGGTGCTCTCCTGCACCTCCCTATGGGGGCCTTTGCAGCAGGCGGGTGGGGAGCCATGGGGTCCGGCTTGTTTTGCTGTTGTGGTGGAGAGCAGCGGTGCTGCGTGAGCCCTCCCAGCTCCTCCTGCTGTCTGGCAGGGCGGCCGCCGAAAACGACTTCCTTCACAGCATGATCAGGAAAGCAGTGGAGGGGAAGGACATCAACCACAAAGGACAAGGTAGCAGACCCCCCCCACAGCCCAATAAACCTGCAGCAGCCACAGGTCGTGATCACGCTCCTGCATGGAGCAGGGCTGTGCTTGGAGCTGTCCTGGCAGTCAGGGTCAGCCCTGTGGGGGCAGGGGGGGATCACCCACCCCAGCACACCTCAGGGCTGTGCCCCGTGGGAGCAGCTCTGGCTGCAGCTCGGGCCGAGCTGGCACCAGCCATGGAGCTGACAGCCCTCACTCTGCTCCCCACAGGGTTCTGGTTGTCCCTGAAGATGCTGTGGGGAGACCTGAACCAGGTGCGCAAGGACCACCCGCACCTCGTGGACCGCAGCACGGTGGTGGCACGCAAGCTGGGCTTCCCGGAGGTCATCATGCCAGGCAAGCAGGGAGCAGCAGCGTCCTGCTCCATCCTGCAGAGCACCACTGGCTCAGGAGATGGGCGCAGCAGCAGCGCTGTGCAGGGGGAGGGGAGGGCAGCGAGCCTGGCGCACTGTTGGTGCCGACCCCGAGGCGAGGCAGGGCAGGGGGGGCTGGTGGTGCTGGCTGCAGCGGGGCCCGGCCCACTGAGTGCACTGCTTCCAGGGGACGTCCGGAACGACATCTACCTGACGTTGGTGCAGGGAGAGTTCGACAAGGGGAGCAAGAAGACGCAGAAGAACGTGGAGGTGACGGTGTGCGTCTGCGACGAGTCGGGCAGCGTGGTGCAGGTATGGCGAGCAGCGACTGCCCCACGCATCCCTGAGCAGGGGCAGCAGCTCTGTGCCTGGAACGGCCCTGGTGGCAAAGCGGTGCTCCTGAGGTTGTCCTTCAGGATAAAGCCTTGCGAAGGTGGTGGGAAGGGGCAAAGCCAGCCTCTCCCACCTCTGTGCGCCCGCTGCCTCGTCCCTTTTCCAGGGTGTTTGCTTTCATTGCAAACTGCTCTTATCTGGCCCGTGGGAACAGGTTGTTAATTAGCGAGGCGCCCGCTGGGCTCCTGCAGAGATGCAGTCCCCATCTCTTTCTGCCCGTGATAATGAATTTCCCGTGGGGAGGAGGGGCTGTGGCAGATGGGGACGGGGCAGCGTTTGGCTGGGAAGGGATGCTCCAAAGCAGGTCCCCGCACTGCCTGGGCTGCGTGGGAGCAAGGCGGCTGTGGGGCTTCTGGACCCCTCTGGTGCTGTCTGTACTGGGCTGTGCCTTTGCGTCCTTTGCTCTGTAAGTCGTGTAAGGCTTGGTGGGAGCTGAGCACAAACATCTCTGCAGAATGTGATTTACCACGGGGCGGGGGACAAGCCGGCCAGCGAGTACCGCTCTGTGGTGTACTACCAGCAGCGGCACCAGCGCTGGATGGAGACGGTGAAGGTCTGTGCTGGTCCCACCAAAGCCCCGGCCCCTCACCAAGCAGGGCGTCAGGACTGGCCCAGTTGCCCAGCTCTTCCCTGCTGCGCTCACGTGGGTTCTTCTCCCTCAGATTGCAGTTCCCATCGAGGACGTCCACAAGACCCACCTGCGGTTCACCTTCAGGCACCGCTCCTCCAGTGACAGTAAGCGTTGCTCTGCGCACTGCTCTGCTCCTGGTGCCGCTGGGCTGTGATGGAGGGGCTCTGGCCGTGTGTGGGGTTCAGAGGCAGGAGCCACACAAGCAGCCCTTGTCCTGTTCTGCTGTGGGGACGCACCAGGGCTGCTGTGAGACCTGGAGGAAGCGAGCTGCTGTCCCTGGTTTGCTCTGTCCCAGCTGCCGTGCAGAGATACAAACCTCGGGACGACTCCGCCTCTGCACAGCAGCTCCTGGGCTCTGTGCTGGCACTGCCTGGGCCTCGTGGCCGTGGGCTGCAGGGAGCAGAGGGGCTGCCGTCAGCTGCTTTGCAGAGCCAAGAATCAGAGGCTATGAGGTGGTGCAGCTCTGTGCACCTTCCTGTGTGCTAATGTAGGACTGGGAGCAACCCACAGCTGCAGAGCTGGGCACGAGGGCGGCCTGGCATGTCCCAGCTGCAGGGAGGGTGCCCGGGGCGGTTGGCTGACCCTATCTGCCCCAAACCCATAGGCACGCAGTCCCCACCTCCCCTCTGCTCCTCTGTTTTTGGTGTTCTCTCCCTCCCTGTCTCATACCTGTGCTGCAGCTGCGTGCATCAGTGCATCTCGTGGTGCTCCGGTGGAAGGCAGCGATGGCCTCAGCACAGCAGCCCTGCACAGCAGCCCTGTGGGCTGCACCCACCCTTCCCCTGCGCTGCCTCCACCTCCATCTCTGTGCCTTTTTCTCTCCCAGCTAAAGACAAAAGCGAGAAGATTTTCTCCATGGCCTTTGTGAAGCTGATGCGCCCTGATGGCACCACGCTACGTGACGGGGAGCACGACCTCATCCTGTACAAGGTAGGGCAGAGCGGCCCAGGACTGTGCCCACAGCCACGTGTGCAGGGTCCCCATCTCCTCCTGTCCTCGTGGGCCCCAGCACGGCTCTCTGCACACATCATCTCCAACCCCGCTGTGCGCATCAGCTGTGCCAAGTTTTGTTTAGGAAGAGGAACTTGAATGTGTCAGCCCCAGCAGGGAGCGTCCTCACAGAGGGATTCGCTGCGTTTTACCTGATTTCACCGGGGTTTGTCGGCTTAAAACCGCCGGGTCTGTTTTTCTTCTGAGAGCACAGAGGCAATGCGAGGAGGGGAGGCTCGCTGTTGGTCAGGAGAGGCGCGGTTGGCTGATGCTTGCAGCCAGTGCTCTCCTGTGCTGCGATGAGCTGAGTCTGCCACGGCCATGGGGAGCAGTGGGGCTGCACCCCGGGCTCCTGCCCTATGCACCCCCAGACCGTTGCAGGAGGTGATTCAGCCCCCCAGCATTTAGCTGAAGTTTTCTGTGGTCTCACCGCTATTCCTGGAGGTCAGTGCCACCTCTCTGGGCAGAACCAATTCCCCACACAGGTCCCCGTGGGTTGGGAACGCTCAGCTGCCATCGCTGTGCAGCCTCATCCAGCCTTCCCCATTGCTTTCTGCACCATAGAGGGTTCCTCCTCTCCGTGCTCCTCCCTGTCCTTTCCCATTTGCCGTCCCGGGGCCTCAGCGCTCCTCCTGTGGAGCGGCGCCCCAGCAGCAGCCACCAGACTCTGCTGCCACTGCTGCTCTCCTGCCCACGTCTGCACATCACTGCCCTGCAGCCCCCACCTGTCCTCCCACCCAACCCCCGTGGGCCCGCCCCCCCCCAGCCGTGTGCTGCCTGCCCGGAGCTCCGGCCCAGCGCTGCCCTTCTCTCTGCTCACTCATTTTGCTGATTCCTGACCTCCCACCAGCGCGCCGACAGAGAGCTGTGCTTTTCTCCCCCAGAAGAAAAAATGCATTTGAGATCTGTTGTCTCCTCCTTCCTCTGCACGCTATTTGGGCAGAGCACCCGAATTCGTTGGGCGCTGCTGCAGGCGCGCTCTCTTGGGCCCTGCCCTGCGCCGCGTCCCCACGCACAGCAGCCCCTCCTGCCTCCAGGGCGTCGTGGAGCAGACAAAGCCTCGCACGCCTCCCTGCTGGGCGCACTTTCTGCTTTTCAAAGAGTTGCTGCTGCCCTCGCTGACCCCGCTGCTGTTCGCAGCCTCTGAGCAGCGTTGCTGTGCTCTGCGCTGCCCTCCCCGTCCTGCAGCTTTCTGCTCCTCCCAGCAAACACAGGGCCGGGCTCCGGGAGGCAGAAGATTTCATCTTTGTTTGCCAGAGGAGCGTGAACTCCATCCTCACAGCTCCTCAGACCTCTTCGTCTGTGCTGGAGGGAGATGTGTGCGTTTGAGCCCACCACCCCTCGGGCTGTGCTGCCCTTGGCCTGCAGCTGGGCGCAGGGCTTACACACCGAGGGGAAAAGCAAACCAACACTTCTGCAATCTTTGACCTTCAGAAGAAGAGAAGTTTGCTGGGCAGGGTGGCAACCAGGGTAAAGACAAATGTTTGCTGCTCAGCTCAGAGCTCTGGGCAGCAGCGGTCCGTGGGACTCCGTTGTCCCCCTGGGCTGGTGGCACTGCTGGGCCGTGTCCTTGAGGTGGGTAATGGTGACAGCAGTGGTTCCTCAGCCTGTCCCACCTGTGCAGGGACCCAGCTGTGTGCCCAGCCTCGTGGTGCAACTTGTGCACGCAACTCTTCTGTTGCTCTCTGCTGCTCTGGCCCTGCAGCCCTCACTGCTGCCCTCCCCCTGATCCGCTGACATCTCCCCATGCTCTCCCACCTGCGTTTTGCCCCCCATCTGCACCAGCTGGAACGCAGCCTCCTCTCCCTGCACGCAGGTCCCTGTGCAGCTCTATGGGAAGCGAGCTGCTCTGTGCATGTTAAGCTCAGAGGAGCCCTCAGAGCGTTGATTCCGGGTTGCAGCGATGCCTCAGAGCCAGGAGCTGCTGACCTCTGGCTCCCTGCCCTGGGATACACGCTCACCTGCAGCTCTGCTTGTTCCCTTGCCCCGCAGCCGCCCCACACCCGCCACGCTCCCCAGCTGCGTGCATGTCTGTGAGCCGTGCTGTGTTGCAGGGGGACAGCAGGAAGCTGGAGGACGCGGGCTCGTACCTGGGGCTGCCCTCCACCAGGGGCCCCTCGGAGCCCTGGATCCTCTCTGGGTCCTCGTTCCGCGTGGCTGGGAGCGTGGCAGGCCTGGCCGTGTCAGCCCGGGACAGCTTCCAGATCTCAACGCTCGTCTGCTCCACAAAGCTGACCCAGAACGGTGAGTGCTGGATGCGGAGCGGCGCTGGCTGTGCTGCTGGCAGTGGGCAGCGATGAACGACGCGTAGCTGAGCTCTGTAGTGCTGGAAAAGAAGAAACCTCTTTAAGAGCAAATTCTATAGGAATGGCAGCAGGGAGCACCCCAGGCCGTTGCACCAGGTGTGGAGCAGGCGGTGCTTTGTTCCCTGAGCTCTGATGGGCCGGTGGTGCCAGGGGATGGGGCGGTACGTGGCTGTGTGTCCCTATGCTGAGCACATTGTCCTCATGCACTGACTCTGCCAGTCCTGGCCACCCCCATCTGTCCCTTCCCACCTGTGCCCCACAGCAATGCTGTCCTGGGGAGGGGGTCTGTCTGGCTCTGCTGCCTGTGCTGACTGTGTGTCCTCAGGGGCAGGGAGCAGGACCAGGCCTGCTCTCCTTCCCAAAGAGATGGAATAAATACAGCTTGCACGCCCCTATCCGCAGGGGCTGGTTAGGAAGGGGGCTGCTGTTATCCCCTTGTTACGAGGGAGCAGAGCTGCAGAGTGATTTACAGCCAGGACAGGGGGAGCGCTGGAGCCCTGGGGGTGGCTGGGCTGCGTGCAGCAGGAAGCTCACTGCTGTCACCAGCGGCTGTGGGGATGCTGCGGAGCCAAGAGCGCGGGGAAAGCAGAAGTGCTGAGCGCTGACGTCCTGCTTTGACATCACCAGTGCTCCCGAGGGAAACGGCAGCCCCCGAGCTGCTGCGGTGTCCCGGGCTCCCAAGGCTCTGGGGCTGCTGTCCCCCAGGTGGGCAGCGCACACGGTGGCCGCATCTGGCCCTGTGGCTGCCATCCCTGCCACGTGGCACCGCTCGCTGCTGCTCTGTGTGCGCTGAAGGCTCAGGGCTGCCACTCAGCATCGCTCGCTTTGTTTGTATCAAGGTTGTCTTTTGGCTTAGCGCTCTCCTGAGCCCTCCTGCGTTAGCAGTGGGTTGTTTTTCCAAGGCAGGGCGGTGTGAGCAGAGAGCTGCAGGCTGCAGGTAGCTGCACGCACCGTGCTGAGCCCAGCCCCGCCGGCAGCCGCAGGCAGCGAGCAGCTTCTTGGCCTGCACCGAGCCCTGCAGATGGTAATTAATCTGCTCACACCCCTGAGGGAGCCGAGCTGCTGCCTTCAGTTTAGGAGCTGGAAGGAGCTGCTGAGTGCTGCTGCTGAATGCTGTGCTGAAATCATGGTGGGAATTGGGACGCCGTGTTTTGAAGTGCGATCTGTTGCTGTGTAGTTGGAGCTTTCAGCCCCGAGGTCCTTTGCTCGGTGCGCTGAAGTCAGGCCCTCTGAGCGCAGACACGTCAGCGTTTAGAGAGGATTTCTGATTCGTACAAAATGGTTTGGGACGCAGCAGCACAGAGCGGTGCGGGCAGCCGTGACTGAGAGCTGGCATGGATGCAAACGGCTCCACGTGTGCATGTGAAGCAAACAGAGCCCAGCTGGCAGCGCAGGGTGCCCGCCCTGACGGCTCAGAGCCAGCTGTGCCCTCAGCAGGGCTCACCTCGGGGGCTGTGCAGTGTGTGTGCAGCTGAGGAGCAGGCAGGGCTGTGCTCTGTGCCCTGTGATGGTGCCAGTGCTCTGCGCCGGGTCACTGCAGGTGTCAGCAGCAGGAGCGGCCGCCCGTCCCTCCCCAGGGGACACAGGCACACAGACGTGGGTGAAAGCAGACATGGCAGCAGTTGGGCTCTGCGTGCACTCGGTCCATGCGGAGGAGCTGCACGGCTGCTTTGCTCCCCCACTGCAGTGCCTCCTGTGCAGGGCTGGTGGCTGGGAGCGCTCAGCTGCGCGTGTGCTGCACGCAGTGACACAGCTGGGACGCCGCAGCGGGGCTCCCGGTGCTCAGCACAGCACACGGTGACTCAGTGCTGCTGCGCCGATTGGGTTTGGGACCGGTGTGGCTCAGTGCAAGTGGGGTTTGGGGCTGCCGCAGTTCAGCTCATTCTCTTCCTGCAGCGCAAATGCAGCCCCTGTAGCGCTCAGCCTTCAGTCAGTGGAGTGTGATGTTTCCGTGGGAGTGAAAGCAGGAGGTTTCTGTGCTGAGCAGCCCCTGCACTCAGAGCTGCACGCTGCACATGTGGCAGCTGCAGCCGTGCTTCGCCACTGCAGCGCGCAGAGCTGCAACGGTGCTGCTGGCCCCGGGGGCTGCGTGGTGTTGGATTGGTGCTTTGCATACCTGCACCAGGGCTGAGGGCTTGCATGTAATGTGCCCACAGCCCCACTGCGGGTCTGGACCAACCCCCCTCATAGAGAGGAGTGGGAGGCAGCCGCACACTTCCCCTTTTGCTCTGGGTTCTTGTTGTGCAGAAGTTGGGTGCAGGCTGCAAGTTCTGGAAGGGCTGTGGGGCCCCCAGCCATCCTGTGTCTGAGCCTGGGGGGGGGCAAGGTGCCCCAAAGGGGTGCTGGCACAGGCGGCCCAGCTGCAGAGCACAAAAGGGGCAGGGTTAGGGCTGGCACTAGGGTTAGGATTAGGGCTGATGTTTGGATTAGAGTTAGGGCTAGGGATCGGGGTAGGATGAGCAGGGTGGCTGCTCCATCCCCCTGCATCCTTTGGCACAGCGCAGTGTTTGGTGCAGGCACAGCTGGCCCCCCCCCCCCGCGGCTCTCCATGTCCTTGGGGTGCAGGAGGAGCTGCATCTCACCCCTTGCAGGGCCCTGCCTGGGGCAGGATGGTGCCCGGGGTCCCTGATGTGGAGCCTGGTTGTGCACAAAGCCTGTGCTGATCTTTCCTACCTCCCCGCAGTGAACTTGCTGGGGCTGCTGAAGTGGCGGGCCAAGCCCAGCCTGCTGGCGGGGAACCTGCAGAAGCTGATGCATGTGGATGGAGGGGAGGTCATCAAGGTAGGAGAGGGGCTGCTGCCTCACAGTGCAGCTGGCAGGTCCTGGAAATGGGCCGGATGCCTCCGAAGGAGAAAAGCTGTGAAGGGACAGCAGCGGCTCTGTGCTGGAGGTCCCTCCTTCTCACAGTGCCGGCGGTGCTGGAGCTCTCACTGCCGTCTCCTCCCCGCAGTTCCTCCAGGACACGTTGGATGCTTTGTTCTCCATCATGATGGAGAATGCGGACACTGACGTCTACGACACGCTCATCTTTGATGCCCTGGTAAGCAGCATCCGTTTCCCAGCCGAGCTTTCAGCACAGGACCCAACCCACCACGGGCGCGCTGCCCACCTTGCGCCCGGGTCCCTCCCCGTGTCTGCGCTGGCGCCTGGCAATGCTGAGCCACGCGGCCTCTCCGCAGGTGTTCATCGTGGGGCTGGTCGCCGACAGGAAGTTCCAGCACTTCAATGCCGTCCTGGAGGCGTACATCCGCCGGCACTTCAGTGCCACGCTCGCCTACAAGTGCGCGTGGAGCACCGGGGCCGCGGCAGGGACGGGGCGGCAGGAGCCGCAGCGGGGCTCAGCACCGGGCGGTGCGGTGAGGAAGCGCCGCGCTCTCCTGATTCGTCCCCATCCCGCAGGAAGCTGATCGGGGTGCTGACCCAGTACGTGGAGCAGGCGAGCCGCGGGGAGCCCTGCGAGCCCCTCCTGCGCACCTTCAAGGCCCTGGAGTACATCTTCAAGTTCATCGTCCGCTCCCGGCACCTCTTTGCCCAGTAAGTGCCGCGTGCGTGGGGACGGCGCTGGGAGGAGCCGGGAGGGTCCCGCGGGGTCTCCGTGCGCTGTGGGTGCACGGCAGGAGCCGGGGAGGCTGAGGGTGGAACCCACGGCTCCGGGTGCTGCCGTGTCCGACTGGCCTCGGCTGCGCGCCGCAGCGCCGCGTCTCCTCCCGCGGAACTTTCGCCCGTTCTCTGCCACGTGCGGGGCTTCCGCAGCCGCCGCTGGTGCGCGGGTCGGCAGCGCTGTTTGTGCCCGGGGAGGGGGAGGCCGAGAGGCGGTGCTGCGGCAGGACGTGCGCTCACCAAGCCCGCACCCCCCGGTGCTGCGGCCCCGCTCTGCCCTGCGGTGCTCCGTGCGGCTCCCGCCGCGACGGCCTCGGGAAATGACATCTCCTCTCGTGTGCGTAAATCACAGCGTCGTGTAAAGTAGGGCCAGAAGGAACACGCAGAGGTCAGAAGTAAACTCCTGCCCCAGGGCGGCGTTGGCCGCGCTTCCGCCGCTCCTGACAGATGGCTTTTGTCAATGCGCTCTTACAAACCTCCCTGCTGCAGACAGCGATGCTCTCCGGGCAGCCGGCGCATCTCGGGGCCCGGCAGCCCGGCACACAAACCCTGCCGTCCGCCCCGGGAGCTGGGGGGCGGCGCCTCGGGGTCCTCATCCCGGCATCTCGACCCCTCCGCAAAGCGCGGCTCCGTGCCGGCAGCACGAGGGGCTGCGCGGCCCCGCGCCCTCGCGGCGCTGCTGGGAAGCGCTCGCAAGTGGGGGCGGCAGGGCCGTCCAGGACCCGGTGTCCTTTGTACCCCGTGGGCGCTGGGTTCCCGTTCTCAGCCCTTGGGTTGCGGTGGGACAGACGGCGCCCCCAGCCTGCTGTGCGTGTGGGGGCGCGGATATCAGTGGTGGAAACTTCTGAGAATGCCACCAAGCGGTTGCCAGGAAGGGCAGGTTGTGTTCCTGTTTCATTCCCGGTACGGGGCGCTGAAAGCTCCGCCGCCCCAGCAGCGAGCAGAGGTGATGCGCTCCGTGCAGAGCAGTGCGGGAGGTGGGGAGCGCGGTGCTGCTGTGCTGGAGGGGCTGCGGGTGGAGGTGGATGCAGTTGGGGGGGTCTGCAAATCACAGGTGGCTCCGATGGAGGTGGATGCAGGTGGAGGAACCCCCCCGTTTGCTTTGGGTGGAAGCAGAGGGCAAATCCCCAGCTCGTAAGGCTTCTGGCAAAGCAAATTAATTCTGTGGAGCATTTGCAGGCAGCTGCATGAATGAGTTAGCGTTAAAATAAAGACATCCCCAAAGACGTGTAGATTTTATTCATCTTTCCTTGATCTTTGAGATCTCAGCAGTGGAATAACACGGGCTCTTCAGATCTCCCAAGTTCTTCAAACGGTGCTAAATTCCGTACGCAGCCTGTAATTGGGAAGAAATTAGATTGTAATTACAACGAGTTGCTGCGCATTGCTGGGTCTGTTCGGTGCCGTCTGCTGCAGCCAGAACCAGGCAGTGGCCCTGCTCTGCTTGGGGGGGGGGCATGGGGGGCACCGCTGCTGCCAGGGCTCCTGGGGAGCTGCTCTGAGCCCATGGCTCAGGGATGGACCCCAGAGCACAGCTGCCTGCGCCTGCTGCGTGCTGCACAGCGGTGCGACGTCGGCCCATTGGGGGTGAAGTGAGCGCTTTGTGGTGCCCTGCTTTGAGCTGAGGCACACGTGTGAGGTCGGAAAGCGGTGCTGGTGATTCCTCTCCAGCTGTTCGTGCAGTGCGTTGCATTCATCCCTGCCCTTCCGGAATTTTGAGGGCCGGAGTTTGCGGTGGAGATCAGCGTGCAAATGGATGGCTGTGGGGGGGCACCGAAAAGGGTGAAAAACTGGATGAACCTCCAATGAGTGATGCTCGATTCGTGACATCGTTCCTGTGAGAGCGGAGCCGTGTGAGGCCTTTATTTCGTCCTGCTGACCCTAAGGCACGCGGGCTGCTCTCCTTCCCTGGCCTCATCTCTGGGTTTGGGCTGAGCTCAGCTCCGAGGTGCAGCTCTGGGCTCCCAAAGGGCGGCAGCTGGGAGCCCCGCAGCCACTGGCTGCATATGGAGTGGGAGGGGGAGCTTCCTTCAGGTGGCCCCAGCTGTGGTTGCACTGCAGTGCTGACCGGGGGCTGCACACAGCAGTCATGCAGTGGCCGCTCTGTTTAAGATCAACCCAGACTCCTCAGCCAAATCGTCAGCGTTTTTTCCCTTGGATGCTCCCTTGGGCTCATTTACCAGCAAGGAAAGATGAATCTGAAAGCAGAACAACCCAACTTTAAAAAGCAAAGCTTTTTTTGGCAAAAAGGGGGTTCAGCCAAAAAGCTGGAGAGCAGGAATTGCAATCCGGGTCGCTCTGCTGCTGTGTGGGGTCAGAATGCTGGCTGCAAGTCGTGGAGCCATAGAACCACGGAGGGTTTGGGATGGAAGGGATCTTTGTAGGACCATGGAAAGGTTTCTGTCGGAAAGGACCCTAAAGGCCACCCGGTCCCACTCCCTGCAGTGAGCGGGGACTCCTGCAGCTTCATCAGTGCTCAGAGCCCCATGCCCTGACCTTGGGGGTCTGCAGGGATGGGGCACCATCACCTCCCTGGGCAACCAGTGCCTCACCAGCCTCGGGTTTCCAGCTGAGGTGGAGAAGGTGGTGGAGTCCTCATCCCTGGGGCTGTTGAGATGGAGTTGTGGCCCTCGGGGACACGGCTCAGTGTGGGGGGCAGCAGTGGTGGCACAGGGTAACCTTTGGCTGTTGCAGGCTCTACGAGGGGAAGGAGACGGCCGAGTTCCAGCGCTCGCTGCAGCGACTCTTCCAGACCCTGAACCAGCTGATGAAATCCCCTCTGGAGGGGCCCACGCTGCTCTCTCAGGTATGGCAGGGGGCTCCGGCTCTGGTCCAGGTGGTGGGGTGAGGTGGGATGGATGATGGATGGATGGATGGACAGAGGGATGGATGGTGGATGGATGGATGGATGGATGGGTGGATGGAGGGATGGAGGGATGGAGGGATGGATGGATGGACGGAGGGATGGATGGATGGACGGAGGGATGGATGGATGGTGGATGGACGGAGGGATGGATGGTGGATGGATGGATGGATGGGTGGATGGATGGAGGGATGGAGGGATGGATGGATGGATGGATGGATGGATGGATGGATGGGTGGATGGATGGATGGATGGACGGAGGGATGGATGGATGGTGGATGGATGGATGGACGGATGGATGGATGGATGGATGGATGGATGGGTGGATGGATGGGTGGATGGATGGATGGATGGATGGATGGACAGACAGACTGAGGGATGGATGGATGGATGGATGGACGGATGGATGGATGGATGGACGGATGGATGGGTGGATGGATGGATGGGTGGGTAGACAGGCAGTGCGCCCAGCTGGGTGTGTGGTGCTGCAGCCAAAGGTGAGCTGGAGCTCCCACCTGCAGACCTGGCAGCACAGCCTCCCCCTTTGTTTCACTGCTGTCTCTATGCTGATTCTGTGGTTTCTGTGTTGCACTGCTTCGGGGCATTCTTAGGTAAGGCCGTACAGATTAGCTCATGTTTAAAGCACAAAGTTTGAGGATTGGGAGCAGCCTTTGTGAGGAAGGGGGCCGTCCCTCCTCATCCTCGCACCTCGCCCAGCTGCATCCCCTCGCTCCCACCGCAGCCCCGTTGCCCCACGGACGCTCTGTGCTACGGATCCCCACTCCCTGCAATTCTGCAGTGATTTGTGCATCACTCAGCGCTCTGAGTCGGGCCTGAAGGAAACAAATTTTGCCAACACGTCAGCTGGAGCGGCACCGTCCAGGTGCAGCAGAGGACAACCCGCCTTTGCTTCTCCGGACACGGAGTCCCCACAGCTGAGCTCCCGCTCAGGAACAGCGGCGACGAGAAGAGCAGAACGCAGGAGCGGAGCGGGCCGGGCGGCGATCTGCCCGCAATCGGGGGCCGCCAGCGGGGGCGGCGTTGCTGCTCCGCCCGAGGGGCTGCGCCGAGCGCCGGGACGCTGCGCCGTGCGGCTGCGGCTGAATCCCGGCGGCGCTTCTCAGCCGTTTTCCTGCGTTGGGTGCGCAGTTGGTGCGGGCCGCGCTCCGGCGGCGGCACCGGGGCTGATGGCAGCGCTATGGCAACGCGCCCGTCAGTCGCAGCTCACCCCGAGATGGGAGCGATTCTTCGGGGAGCTCCTCTGGGCCAATTTCTGCACGAGGAAATTCCTGATACCGCCTGGCCCCGGTCCGGGGCGCAGCGGCGCTGTTTGGTGTCAGAGCCGCATCGCTGCCCCCAGCCCGGCCCGGAGCGCATCCCCGCGTGTGCAGCTCCAAGAGGAGAACCTGGGCATCCCTCTGTGTGGACGCAGCCGCTGCTCAGAGCCCCTTCCTCACCTGAAGGACCCCCCCCATCACCGCCGGCGGTGCCCGCGGGATCTGCCGGCGGCTGACGCAGCTCTGCCTACTCCCGTCGTTAGAGCTGCAATTATCTGATCAGCACAGGCAGGGCTGATAATAGCTCGTTAGCTGCAGCACGCCCGGAAAGGCCACCTCCTCCGTGAAGGGGGCGCTCCTTTGTTGGAACACTTCAGCCTTTGGGGTTTTGCACTCTTTTGACCGCTCTGTGCCCCGGGAAGGAGCCTCGTTTGGGTCTGATGAGGAATGTGGGGCAGCACAGGGCCAGGGACAAACCTGTGTGCTGCTGGGATGGGGAGCAGTCAGGATCCCCCGGTACCCCAGCAGTGCTGGGCTGGTCCTGCTCCCAGAGCCCTGCTCTGCTCTGCACCGAATGCAGCTGAGGTCTGAGGTGGGACGGAGCTGCAGGCTGCAGCACGGTCAGATCCCCACGGCACACGGCCCCTTCCCCACAGCCGTGCCTCTCTGACAGAACCTCTGACCATCGGTTGTGGTTCCACCACAGAGGGTGCAATCAACGCAGAATTAAGGAGTGGCAGAAAAATTAATGTTAATCGGCCCAGCTCGGCTAAGCATGGAGGTTAATAAAGAAGTCAAATGTAGGAGATGCTTGTTCTGAAGCTGTGAATGTGACTGAATGAGATAACCAAGGCAGCGTGTGAGACGAGCAGCGGTTCAGCTTTGTACAGTGTTCTGGTTTAAAATTAGAGTTGTATGAATGCATTAAAAGAACTGCTTTGTAATCTGTTTAATATGTATCTCCTCAGTAGAGAAAAGGGAAAGAAGCAATTAGGGATGGAGAGGCATGGTGCAGGGATGGGCATTTCTTTGGGTCAGAGCAGCGCTGCTGTGCTGGGAGCATCCCTGGGGCCATTGGGAAAGAGACACGGGTGCCACGGCAGTGATTTTGGGTGCAGGGTGCGGGCAGCGCAGTGGTCACCGCCCTGTGTGTTTGATGTCTGTCTGTCCGTCCTTCTGTCCATCCACGCTGCCCCACGGGCACGTGGTCAGCAGCCTCATCTCTGCGCAGGGAGCAGCCCTCAAGTATCTGCCTTCCATCCTGGAGGACGTCTTTGGGATCTTTGATGCCTCTATGTTGGGGTAAGTGTCCCGGCCCCAGCCCCACTCCCCCCCGCAGTGATACCCACCCCAGCCCCCAGGGTGGGCAGTGCCTCTCAGGCCCTTCCCGTGCAACGTGGGGGTTTGGCTCAGTGCTGGCAGGGGTCAGCAGGGGGCAGGGCAGCGCTCTCCCGCTGCCTTCTCCAAAGGAAAGGGGTGGCAGCGCTTGGGGCCGCAGAGCAGCCTGGCCTTGTCCTGGCCTTGGCCGGGTCCCGCAGCTTGATGGTTGGTGCTCATTGATTCTCCTATCTGCACGGCAGGCTCCTGCTGCGCGACTTCATCGGCAACCTGCAGCCCCAGCGCCTGCTGAGGCAGAAGCTGCAGTCCCTGACCGACATCGTCAACAGCAAAATCTTCCAGTCCTACGGTGAGAGCAGCGTGGGCTCCTGCTGCACGGCCCGCGCTGCCGAGCACAGCACAGCTTGTGTCCCCCCACCCCGCTGCCCCCCTTTGCTCCGGCAGCACCGAGTTGTGCCTGCGGGACCTGAGCTCCCAGAGCTGCTGCCAAAGGCCGCTCGTTGCCGACGCCTGGTGCTGTGGTACTGAGCTCCAGGAACAGCTTTAAAACACGTTGTGTTGCAGAAGGAAATTGGGCCTAGAGGGAGGAAAGGGCTGCAGAGGGGTGGCAGCGGTGATTTTCAGGGTGAGGGTGTTGGTGGTTTGCTGTCCAGCGGGAAGGATGCTGTGTGTGGTTCCACAGCTCACGCTTAGAGCCGTGGCACCACTGGGGTTGGAGAAGGCCCTTAAGACCATCCAAAGGCCCTTAAGACCATCCAGTCCAACTACTGATACTGGTACAGGTGGTGATTAATACAGGCTTGTTAAGTTTTGCCTGCAAGGAGGAAGGGGCTGCCAGAGCGCGGCTGTAAGGGTATCTCAAAGCTGAGCAGTGCTGTGCGGAGGCAGCGCTGGCCGAGCCCTGGCAGCCAGGGGCCGTTTGAGTGAGAAAGTCTCCATCTGTTGGGTTAAACCCAAAGCACCCTTAGCAGAGCAGCACTGCGGAGTCGCGGAGCCTTTCTGTTAGCATTTAAAGTCTTTCCAGAACTCCAGGCTGCGGCCCAAATGCTTTGTGCTCCCTCCTTGCTCTCAGTCCCTCTCAGTGTGGGGAGCTGTGGGTGCCCTCTGCCAGCCCCACACCTCCACCTGCCCCACAGAGTGCCGGGATCTGCTGCTGCGCATGGCCGTGCCCGTCCTGCAGGACCTGATAGAGAGGGGTGAGGAGGAGGACGCCTGCGTTGAGCTGCTCAGCACCATCCTGGAGGTGCTGTACGCGGCCCAGAAGGTAGCGCCCAGCTGCTCCGCTGCTCCCTGCTCTCTGTGTTGGCTTCACCTTGGAAATACGTCTGGCTGCTGTTCGTCGCAGGGGTGGCTGTGGGGGCACTGCGCCGGCCTTGCGGGCTTTGCGCTGATTTGCAGCGCTGTGTTTGTTGCAGAGAGCAGAGGAGGAGCGGCGCAGGGAGCGCGGCGACTCGGAGCTGGTGAGTGCCGGTCCTGGGGGTGTGCAGGGGGATTTGGGCACCCAAACCTGGGGGGAGCCTCGTGCACCTCCTGCCCAGAGCAGGACTGCGGCGTCTCCTGGGGTCGGCGCACGGAGCTGCGCTGCTGCGGGGATGGAGGAGCCGCCTGCAGCAGTGCCTGAGGGCTGGGGGCTGCAGGCTGTGCTGCGAGCCCTTAGGGCCCACACCAGCTGGCTGTGTGTACGGGGATGATGCTCTCCCAGCGATGCTCTGTGCCATGGCCTGCTTTCCACGAGGTTTTCATTACTTCTCACTGCAAGGAGTTCCCTCAGTGAGGCACTGCGGGTGAGGTGTTGTTCCCTTGACCCATGGGACTGACTCAGACCCTGCTGCTGCTCGGGTCTCTGCCTGCCCGGACAGCCCTATGAGACCGTAGCATCCAAACAGTTCCCAGATCTGCTGTGGAGGGTGATGAGGCCAGCCCCCCCCACACCTCCAGCAGTGTCTGCCCTGAGACCCGCAGTGCTGTGAGCGTGCTCTGCGCTCTGCTTGGCTGCACTGGCTGTGGTACAAGGTACAAGGCAGCCAGGCTGTGCACTGGGGCAGCTTTGGGGCTCGGGATGCTGCAGCCACGAAACCTCAGCAGGTTCAGCTCAGCTGCAGCGCCAGGTTGATGCCTTGAGTGCAGCCGTGCCCGTGCCACAGTGGTTGTGCCCTGTCCTTTTGCTGCACGCCACCCCACAGCCCCTGAGGCCTTGTCCTCTGCCACCCTGCAAGCCCTTGGGGGTCCTGGCAGCTCCCGGTGCTGCTGTTCCTGCAACAGTTTAGGAGAGTGCAGAGAGCTGTGCTTCAGCTCAGCAGGACGCTGCCCCTGCCTGCTTTCCTGTGCTGGCAGCTGTGCCTGTGCCGTAGCCCAGGCTGTGTCTGGGTGCCCTCCAGGTGTCTGGGACCCCCTCAATGTGTCCCATGATGGAGCAGTGTGTCCCTTTTGGAAAGCTGACCTCAGGCACACAGCAGAAGCACTGCGACACCCTGCAGCACTTTGTTGCACTGCTTTCTTGCGGGCATCTCTGAGATTTGAGTAGGATTTCCTACAGGAGATCTCCTCACTACATCTCTGCATTGGGAACAAAGTGCTCTTGTGCTCATATGACATTCACCTGGGGCTGCCAGGGGCCAGCATGTGCCTTGCTTGGAGGACAGGGACAGAAGGCAGCAGGCAGTGAGGGGACACTGAGTCTGAGATGAAAGCAAAAGCTGCATTGGGTGTGGGCTGCGCTCCTGGTACAGCTGGAGTGGGGCTGAAGTTGGGTGGCGGGGATCGTGGCTGCCACCAACTGCACTGCTCTGCATCCCTGTGTGGGGACGGGCACAGCCAGGTGCAAAAAGAGGAGACGTGCATGCTGAGGATGCAAGCTGAGAGGCTGCTGAAAGAATGAGGTCCTTCCTTTCACGCAGCCCCAGTCCTGTGCTGGGCAGGAGGTGCACGAGGCTCTCCTCGGCGTTCGGGTGCCACGCTGGGTCTGCTGTGCCCAGGGTCAGTTGGGATTTCTGCACTCCGAGGTTTCAGTGCGTAGCGTGCAGTTGGAGCAGTGGGGATTTTCAGCTGCTGAGCAGAAGTTTTGGGAAGGATGAATGGATGAAGGAGTGAGCGGAGCCAGCCAGCATAGGAGACACAGGCTGTGCACAGGGGAGCAGCTGGGGGAAGTCTCACAGAACCACAGAATCATAGAACGGCCTGGGTTGCACAGGAGCACAGTGCTCATCCAGCTCCAAGCCCTGCTGTGTGCAGGTCACCAACCAGCAGCCCAGGCTGCCCAGAGCCACATCCAGCCTGGTCTTGAATGCCTGCAGGGATGGGGCATCCACAGCCTCCTTGGGCAACCTGTGCCAGAGCCTCAGCTGAAGGTGCCCCAGTTCTGCCCCTTCCCAGCTCTCTGTGGGAACTGTGTGGCAGCCACGGGTGTCGGAGCTGCAGCCTGGGTTGATGTGTGCTCCTTGCCCTGGGCTCTGCTGTGCCCCGTGGTGAATTCGGGGCCTCTGCTGGCACTGCCAGTGCCACCAACCCCGACGTCTCCTGCGGGTGGCTCTGTGTTACACATCCCGGCCACCTCGCAGGAGCCAGGGCTGCCCAGGGCCCTGCTGAGGGCGTGGGGACGGTTCCTCCTGTGCCCACACGAAGAAAAAGCCCTGCCAACTCTGCAGCTTCCAGCAGGGAGCTGCGGCAGAGCAGGAACCGGTGTGGGGCTGCTCCCCGTGCCAGCAGCTTCTGCTCATCGGGCTGCAGATGCCTGTTGCTCTCAGGGGCACAAGGGCTGCCCCCGGCCTGGCTCGGGGTCACCTGGGGAGATGCGCATCGCCCGCACCCCACCCAACCAATGCGGCCGTGACTCCCCGCGCCTTGCAGGTGAAGGTGAAGAGGCACGTCCAGCTGATCCTGGAGCGGCTGCTGCACACCGTGAACCGGAGGGTGATCGTCCTGGAGAGGGACAACAGCCTCAGGGTGAGTTACCACCGCCTGGCCGGGCGTGGGACGGCTCCGCCGCTCCGCCCAGGGGGATGAGGAAGTGAGGGAAGGGCTGCGTGGTGTGGGGATGGGGAGCAGGTGGCAAATGTTCCTCGGCGGTGCCGTGGTGTCTGGCAGCAGCTGCTGGGGATGGGTTTGTGGGTATTTAACGCAGCAGGATGCACGAGGAAGCCCAAAAAAGGAAGGAGGAAATGCGGCAGAAGCGGGTCGCGGAGTAGGAGGAGCGCTGGGAGGAGCGCGCAGGGTGCTTGCGGTGCAGGAGGCTCGTCTGGAAGCAGATGCAGGGGTTTGGGCTGCATTCTCTGCAAAGCAGTGATCGGACCCAACAAGCGTTCCTCATTTTACACATGGGAGCAGCACGCTGGGATGCCCACCTCGTGCTGAGCTGTTGGCAGGCTGCAGCACGGCTGCACCGGGTGCAGTGGTTTCATCATGTGGGAGGAGGAAACGAGCTCTGTGCAAGTGTGGACAGCCAGGCTGTGTGCAGCAGGCCGGGCACGTGGCTCTGGGCTGTGTGGGGCAAGGGGAAGGGTCTGGTGGCATTTGGGGCGCAGTGCTGTGGGGCCCTGCCATGCTGTGTCATCCCGTGCCGTGCATCGTGCCTAGGGAGGTTTTGGAGCAAACCTGTAGTTCTGCCATTCCGTGCTTGGCTCTCATTCATAAATACGTGGCTCTACCAAGTTGCTACGGGCAGGATGGGACCTTCCTTCTCACTGGCCATGCTGCTGCTACTGGCAGAGGGGCCTGCCTGCTTCAGGAGCCATTCCAGACAGCATCTCTGTGCTCTTGGAGTGACCCCACTGCTGAGATGGTGCAGGGTGCCATCCCTCCTATACATCTGGCTGCAAGTAGCCCTGTGCTGGGCTGTGCTGGGCTGTGTCAGACTGTGCTGGGCTGTGCTGGGCTGTG